GATTAAAAAATAGCATATAAAAATATGTTTTCAACACGCTTTCATAAACATTATTTGATACAATTTTGATAGTATTTTGATATTTGGCTTTGCTCGGGTATCTATTTTCATTTGGAATAAGAAAAAAAAAATCTGATTGGACCTGTGCTTGGCCATCCGGAATAAAAACCGAGAAAAGTCCCCAGAAAATGTGTGTCAATTCATGTTGACATGACTGGTTCTCTGCAATTTGGATACAACATTTTAAGATTGAGCCACTATTTGGAAGGTATGACTATCTACTTTCTAACGGAACAGACAAGGAACCGATTGGACTTGTGGTTGGCCAGTCGAGACAGGAAAACCCATGAGAGGTGGCTGTGCGGAAATTCACATTCACCACAAAAATGGTCAATTCCTGAAACTTTCAGGAATTGACATTTTTTGTGGTGAATGTGAATTTCCGTACAGCCCCCTCTCATAGGGGTTTCCAGGCTGAAAGTAGAACTAGAGATCTTCGATTTTTTTTTATAAATTGCATACAATCATAAGCATGGAGTAAATATTCCATCACCATATTGATTCTGTTACCGGGTGGCTAGGAAACGGTCCATTGGATATCCGGAATTACCGGGAAAATGGTCAAAACTGCATACAATCATGAGTGTATAGAAAATATGCCATCATATCGATTCCGTTGCCAGGTGGTCAAAAAAACGGCCCTCTGGGTATCCGGAATTGCCAGTAAAATTATCACTCTGGATATCTGGAATGACCGAAAAAATGGTCAATTACTGAAAGTGTACAATGAGATCCATGGATTTAGAGTTCACAAATGACTTCCACGTAGGCTATATATGCACGTCCACTTCGAATTTTCAAATACACAAATCTCGGCAATCGGTGCCCCATTTCACCTGAAACTGCTACTTCATGTATGCTGCAGTGCAGCAAACGTGACGTAACAATTTGAATGTTGCACGTGTCGTAAAAGCTGAAATTTGTGCACTTGAAGTTTCGAAGTGGTTCTGAGAATAAGGATTTCACAGTGATTCACCTTAAGGTGATGACAGATAGATAAGGTCATGAAAGTATAGAATTCATAGTTCCGTTAGAGTACGGTAGTCCTCTGTTCGGGACCAAGCACTACTGCGACCAGTAAATTGATCTATTGTAGTATATCCCGTGTCCTTAGTTTAGTGCATGTCGTATTACTCCATCACTATTGAGAAATTATGAAGTATTCGATTTTTTTACAGTTGCCACTCTTGCATTTATCGCAAGGATCCGACTCTAATTGAAAGGTCCCGCTATTTATACCCTTCGGAATGTTGAAACACCCTCCAAAAGCGCACCCCTTTGTCAGTCAAAATTGGATTCCTTAGCAACAAAATTAAGGTATGACACCGATAATGACCATTAGACCTGTTCATTTTAAACGAAATGTTCGGAATGTAACGAGTCAACCGTGATTACTGTTCGTCATGTTAATTTGAACTTTTGTGCAAATTTTCAGCAAAATCGGTGTTGATTTAGAGGTGCTTCTAGTTAATTTTATGTTTTCAAGGTAATTTACGGCTTATAATATTTGTATCTCGAGACTGAAACAACGAAAGCTGCTGTAACAACTTTCATAGCAAAGCTTAATGTGTTATCTACCAACTTTGTGGTCAAAGGTTGACTATTCGAAGTGATTTTATTGAAGTTTGACTTATCATGCTCGAAGATATCTTAAAATGTGAAGAATTTTAAAGTATTTGTTCTACGAATTTTCCACCCATATGATATAAAAATGTGTAGTGTACGGCATAATGTTCCTCATATTGTTCTAGAAGTTTCGTTCCAACATAGTTTTCGTGTATATTTCATAGATTGAGAGATAAAAATCAGAAAAGAGGCCGTTTAGCTAAAATTCACAAGACAACAGAACCAATAAAAGTCAATTAGATTGACAGAACATAGTTGCATTGCTTTTCAATGACGACCGATGACTGTTTCATTGATATATGATTTTTTCATAAATATGAATCCTCAGTAGACGTGTTTTTTTTATCAAAGGCAAGTGTCACTCGAGCCATTCAAAATGTTCGTTATTTTATAAATTGCTGTTATGGTTCGAGTGACACTTGCCTTTGATAAAAAAACACGTCTACTGTCTACGTCGCGTTTGCTACCCAATTTTGGAACATGAGAGTCGCAATTTTGTCAGTTATCTTACCCATTCTTCGCTCTTCACTCTTCGCGAAGAGGCGATCAGAAAATCGCTCATTGTGACTCTGTCAAAGCTAAATTTGCAGGTTTTATGCGTCAAACACAAACTTTACAATCTTTTCTTGTTACTTATACATACGTATACAAATATCATCATAATATCTTATGATCCTATAATTCCATACAACATTGTTTAAGTCAAAATGTATGGAAGGCACCCTGAAATCTGATTAGTAACACGATAGTTTAGTTCAAAAGCTGCAAAACAAAGTCTATAAGAACGCCTAATATGAATATTTACATCCAAGTAAGAGTAGAGTAACCAAAAATTGGGTCTGATTCGACTCAAAAGTGCAAAAAGTAGGGCTACACAGTGAGTGAGTAAAATTTCCTCGGTCGTCCAAGAAAAAAATCTTGAATATGAGGAAAGCCAAGAAACATATCATGTAAGAGAAACATATTTAGTACACTCCTAAACTGAAAAGTGAAAAAAAAAAATTTAACTACTCACTGCGTAGCTCCGTGAGCGTCTGACAGAATTGGAAGCAAGAAACAGTGGCAGATTTTTTACAATATCTCTACGATCTGTGACTATTCAACAAATGATATGAAAAGTTAAATAGAAGTCATTTTTCAATCAGGAACATTCAATTTTTGGTACAAACACGTTCGAAAAAGAGAAGTATAGTTCAAGTTGTGCCTAGCATGACGGAAATTTGATCTTCTTCTTCTTCTTCTTCTTCTTCTTCTTCTTCTTCTTCTTCTTCTTCTTCTTCTTTGAATTTCAAGCTTATTAATTATCGAATATTTGCTTATTGCGTGCTCTCAACTTAGTGCTATAGATGCATTTTCACAGTTATTAATTGAGAGCTTTAGATGCCTGTACCATTTTTAGTATAATTGTGTGGCAAGTTCAATCATATTCTATGCCCAGGGAAGTTGATAAATTTTCCTTATCAAACCATTTCAACTTATTACAATTAAAATGTCACATGCAGAATTTGAGTTCAAATAAAATTTTTTTTGTCACTTCCTGGGCAGTACCTGTTCCGGTACCATTTCCAAATTTGATAAATTTGGTTAAAATGGTTCTTAGTCTAGAAACAAATTGAAGGAAACCTTATGTGGCCCGTTTCAATACTTTTCAGAATTTTGTTCAGGTTGTGTTAGGAGCCACCGCATTGTGAAATGGCTGAAAGTATCTCTAACAAATATACAAAAATATTACCAAAGTAGATTGCTGCGCTAAAAATAATTCCTCGGATTTTTTTCGCTTCGCCCACCAAAGACAAAAGTTTACCATTTGTAATATTCTGTTTACTTTCACAATAAAATAATCTATCGACGTAGGGTAGAGAACTACTTCGGCCTAATCGCCCATTTTGGGCCTATCGAGCAGAAAACTTCAAATAAATCCATGATTTCAGAGTTAACAAGTCAATTATGCGTTTGGTACGATACTTTAGTTAATAAGCTACCGAACGAAGTCAATGCGAACGTGTGGTATGAAGGTTTGCACCCATTATTCCCAAAAACAAAAGAAACGCTCCAAACGAATCAATTTTTATCTTCATCCGATAGGCCGAAGTAAATTCAACGGCGTTTCAATTGCGTTTCAATGCGTTAAGCCGAGTTTAAAATCTGTAGGCCGAGTTTGGCGTCAAGAAGCAGTGTTGGACTTATGACAGTATATCAACGATTGGTTTCTCGTTTTCAAATCTTACGGTTTGTACGTAAAGGTAAATAAATTTGGAAGCCATCAGTAATAATAACATTTCGTTTGGTGCTAAACTGAACTATATTAAGAAAGACTAAGTGCTGGTTATGCTTAATAGGCCGTAAATGGGGTAGTTAACCCTACTAGCGGTGCTAGAGCTTTAGCGTGGAAGCAACCCCGGCGTAGTGGTTAGCATCCATACCTCTCACGCCAAAGTCAAGAGTTCAAATCTCACCCCCTGACAAGTCACGAATGACCCAAGAGCGTTAAAGTGACTAAAAAATAGAGCTTTAGAAATTTGTTTAGCCGGAGCGAATAAACAATCTGAGGGATTATTTTTTAGCGCTGAAGCGCTACTTTGTTGTACAATGTGCAATATTATTGTATAAATTTCATTTGCGTTACTCTATAAATTTTCTCTCAGGTTTAAGCATTTGCATATTCTAGACAATCAATGAACCCGAAACAAAGTGTCATTAACCATTTAGTTTTCACAACAACAAAATTATTAATTATTACAGTAACTATGGTTGGTAATAGAAATAATCGAATTGTATGCTTAATTTTTATCGAAGATTTTAAATTTTCTTGTTTTTGTTTTTTTTATTATTCCAATCACCCCAATAAGTGACGGCATCAACAAATTGAACGTTGCACATTCAATAAAGTGTCCCCATCATTCTCGCAAATCATTTGCCCACTGTTCTCACCTGGCCAGCACCGTTAGTCCTACGTTGACGAAGTGCCGGAGACCTTTGCTGGTGTTGGTTACCCGAGGTTAGCCTGGCCGGAGTGTTTCATTAATATCGGCGTGTGATAACGATAGTTAATTATTTGACATTAATGATTGCTCCTCTTCGGTCGCCTGTCGTCTGTTGAGCCATAATATGCTCCCGCTCTTCTGCTGGGGGACTCGTTTCGCTCAAAAACTCGCACGAACCCACGTAGCTATGGAAAGCCTATGCATGAGTGTGTGTCCTCTCCCTAAATGGGTGGCTGTGGCATAGATACCCAACAGCAGAAGCATATCCAGCAACAGCAGCTTACTAGGGACTCATCTAATATACTTTTCACTACTTCTATCTCTTTTCAGCATGATTTTCGCTCAGATTATGTAGCATTCTTCCGATGAGGGAGGGCGAAAATCACAAAAAGGATCATACATCTACGGACTGCCAAAGAGTAATCGTGCTCGTAAAAAGTGAAACAGAGTGAAAATATACCTAGCACAAGGATATTTTCCGTCAATATGGAAGACACCCAGAATAGCATTCGTGGATGACTGAGTTGCATTGCAAATGTAGCTGCAGTTTAGGATGAAATAATGAAATTTTCCTCAGTTTCTTGGGCGGCTGATCATAGGACAATGTGGAGAAGTTTGGTGAACTCGCACTTGGATGCGCGCTGATGATGGAATCGTCTCGGAATGGAGACGTGTGGTAGTGTTGCGTGGTGGGCTGTGTGTGAGTGTCAGTTGGTCGGTGGAGAAGAGAAAAGCTTTTGTGTGCAACCCGTGAAAATTTTCTCGGTTTTTCACCAACATACTTGACGCGAAGTTGAAAAGTGTCTCTAGATAAGTGTCTTTTGCAGTGGAAATTTTCTGAAATGTGTGCAGGATTTGCGAAAATGTGAAATTTCTCCACGCAAGGCTTGGAATATCGGTGGAAAATACAGCATTCGGCTACAGGAAAATGCAAGAAGTTGGCATGAAAAATCGAGGGCCTATCTTTACTCATTGTAGCATTAAAAGATGGAGAGTGAAACAAGGAGTGTATATGCAAAAGCATTTTATTACAAAAAGTGATTAAAATCATGACGATTCAAACCAAACAGTTACCAAAAATCGAGAGATTCATATGTAATTTGAGTGGATACCGTCTGGAAAAATTGTTTTTCGACAATGGAAACTAGCCAGTGCAATCGCTTTGGAGTGACGTTATGAGCGAAAATCCAGCTGTGCAATGGAACTGATATCGAAGCTGTATCCACCGTAGGGCACAATGGTAAATGATTTTAAATGATACAAAGATGTCATTGGGACATTTAGTTCCGAATTGGATTGTATTTTTTCGTTTGATTGGGTCCAGAGGAATAGAAGGAAAATTCAATATCACAAGTGAAGGCTGCTACTTCGCCTCGGAGAGAGAGAAACTTTGGAAGAAAGTGACTATACAACTGCTTGAAGTAAGGAGGGGAAGCAAGAGAAATGGTGGGAAACTCAAGTGAAAAATCAATATGTTGAAAATGAAAGATAATTATTACTTCTATCGTTATCTTTGACCTGGAAACTGATGCTGGGATTTTTTTTTTCCGTTTGCGATCGAAAGGCATTTCAAGAAATATTCAGTTGCAGAATCGCAAAGAACACGCAATAACCAGCGTTGCTGATGCTGATTCTACCAGTAACAGCTGTGACCTCTTTTATTGTCTGTATAACAACTCTGCTCCTCCCGCTGCTATGTAGGTTAAACTGGAGATAGTATAGGGGATATCATTTGTTCAAACCCGACGCTCATGTTATTTATTGTTTTAACGCTAACGATATTTCATTGAATATATGGTAATTTTTTGACAAAGATTTGCAACCAAGTTTATTGCAAAAAAATAAACACATTGTTAGCGCTAGATTCGAAATGAACTTAAGCGACAATTCATTTAAATTTGATAACATTTTGCCTAAATTCTCTTAAGCATTATTTAGTTGTTTTTATTCGCAGAATACATGAAAACTATGAAAAATTACATTAAAAATTGATTTTAGAAATTGATAAAATAATCTAGAGATGTCACTAATCCGGGCAAAATGCATCCATGCTGGGGTAAAATGCACTACAATAACCCCCATGACGCACCATAACTATGAGGCAAAATGCACCTAAACAATTGGGCAAATGCACTACAAGAATGGGGAAATATGACTCTCCTTGCAGTCTTAGAAATTATCATCACCAATTGTGGCAGGAGAACGTCTTCGTTTTTGGCTGCCTCCAGTTCCGATCGTAGTTGTTCAAAGGTCCATGACCGCTAAATAGACTTCATAATGTTGCGGACAGGAATAGCACGTATATAAAGCTTGTTTACTAAATGATCATTTTGCCCCGAGGAGTACTTCTTGTCTTGAATGCATAAAGAAAATGTTTTTGATCATAAATTTTTTTTCTTATATATACCGGTATTTTATCAGAAAAATTTAGCTCTAATCTCAATCAATTTCTTAATGTCTTTCTCCGACGCTTAATAATGTTTGAATCGCTAAAAAATCTTAACAATTTGGATGGCAAAATTACACTATATCCAATGCAAACTGGTTTTTGTTTTGATTTACATTATCTGATGACATAGACCTGATACGGTATCCAAAACAAACATAGATTTAGCTTGTAGGGTAGCTACTTAGTTGTAAAGATGTATTATAGGCTTTAAACGAAGGCAGTGCATCTTGCCCCAAAGGTGCATGTTACCCCAGGTACCCCTATCAGTGGTGAGATTTGTCATTGTCATTGACAGACTTTCGCGCGATATTGACAAAATTGTTCGTCACATAGTCACTGACAGACTTGATCCTCAAAAAAACCTTCGTCAAAATCTCATTCATTTTTTCGTCAATGACAAAGATTCACCTGGTAACAAAAAGTGTAATTTAGTACATTCTGTATCACATTATTGTTATCCAAGTAGCTCAGGACGTAGATACTTGTTCACTAAAATGGATCCATCGAATTGTTTTGCTCAAGTCATTTAATTTTGTTACAAATTTAGCTAATAAACAAATCTGCACATGTTCATCACTGACACCATTGTCATTGACAATTGACATGGTTTGCCTTGACTATGACTGTTAGCTAAAATGAGTGACCAAAGCAGAATTGTCAATATCACCGTGTACTGTCGAGATTTTGCAGCACTGACCCCTATACATGTCAGTTGGAAAACCGCCTTTTGATCCGAGGCCCGGAGGGCTAAGTGACTCTGCTCGACGAGATCAGAAAATTTCTGTATGTGTGTGTTACACAATTTTAGGCGACGGTTTTCTACGTTGGACCGAATTGGACGCTACAACCACCAAATGAAAGATATTAGGGTCCCATAGATATTTATTGATTATTTATGGAATCGTTCAACTCTGGTTCAGGAGATATGCTCCGGTGAATATAGGTCATGAGCAGCGTTGCCAGGTCATTTTCAGAAAAATCAGGACCAAGTAAAATATAAAATCTGGAAAAATCTGGAATGCTCTTAAAAGACCTGTTTTTAACATAATGCTATTAAAATCAAATTGATGTACCAATCTTCCGTAAAAATCGGTCAGTATAATCATCTGGAATTTATTGAAAGTACCAGAATGTTTATCAATTACATGTTTAAATAAATTATATCAAGCAAATAACTTGTTAGCATCAAAAATTTAGGAAAAGTATTGGCACAATGTGCCCAAAAAGTTTACATATCCATTACACAGAATTTCAAAAAATGAGTTAAATTTTGGGTTAAATGCTGCAGAAAATATGTTTGGACTGTAACTTTTTTAAAAAGTATGAGAAGCAAAGAATCAAGCAACTTTTATGAGATGATTTTTTTTTTAAATAATAGTCTATTTGATGCAGTACCAGAATATGTTTGAAAGATTTTATTAGTTCTGAACTATTCTGAGGTTGATCAGACTTACAATTTAACTTTTTACAGGATATCTTCGTCATTTTTTTCAGAGTTCCCTTTGAATCATCCTAGAATTCCATCATACTTCTTTTCTGGATTCTCCTAAAATAATCTTGATAATCTCCAAACTTTTTCAGCAGCATTCTAGGGGTTCTCAGGAAAACTCTCTTGGTACGCATTATCTCATGTAATTTCTTAGATATCATTCTACAATTCCACAATTCCCTCAAACTGGTAATAATTCCCAACAATTCGCATTATTTTGTCTCAATTTTCTCGATGAAATTCGCTTAGAATATTGATAAAAATTTCACTCTTCAGAATGACCGTCACACTCTTACTTAAAATTTAGTTAAAATGAATCTCCCTAGAAACCTTGGACAGAATTCCATTGAAATTATTTTCTCGATTCGCATCAGCATATGTACTCATTGCATTCCTCCCAGATTTCCTTACAAATTCTCCAAGCAATTCCTTGAATTTGCCATCAACGTTCCTTAAGTATCATCATAAGAATTTTCTATGACTTCTCTTCCGAATTATATTTAATTTCTTCGCAAAATTGCCAAACAATTGTCATCAGAGCTATGGAACTCTACTCAGAATAAACTTGTAATCCTCTTATGATTTCAGAAGGATTTCACTTCACGCTATACTTAAAATTATGAAATTCTAGGGCAATTCAGAATTCTAAAGTAATTCAGACTGCTAACTCAATATTAACAGGTACTTAAAAAAATGCCTTTTAAATTCTTAAATTAAATCCTAAAAAATCTCAAGAACATACTTCAAAATCCTGGTAGTTGTCTAGATTCAAAAGCCTTGCTAATTTTCTAAAGCTCAATGTATTGTTTTCAATCCCGAACAGTTTTCGATTTCTCTAAATTGCAAAATTATGAAAATTTCCGCTTATTGAACTTTTGATTTTCTAATCCAGGATTCCAAAAAAATAAATTATAGCCAAAATCAAACCAAAAAAAATCCAGACCCCATATTTTAAAAAATATGAAGGGTTTTTTCAGCCAATAATCTTTAGGAAATATCTCAATTTTCATGATTCTGCAACCCATTAACATGCAAACATGTTGTAACAATTCCATGTGCGATGTTGCAATAATTGTCAACGTTGATGACCTTTAATAATTAAAGTAGTAAGTTTAACTTTTTTACTAGAGGGTAAAACAATTTCTTAAAAAAAATCTGGGAAAATCTGGAACATATTTTAAAAATCTGGAAATATACGTGGTCTGTCTGTGTATCTGTCAAGACGACTGAAAATCTGGAAAATCCAGAAAAATCTGGAATACTGGCAACGCTGGTCATGAGTTATACCAAGTGTTCAGCATCACACTGGACGCATCTGGACATGTTCCGGTTTCCCCAGGGAATATATTCATTCCTTCGTTTAACGTCGGTCTCTGTTCCGCAATCTAGTGCCAATCACCGACGGACATCGATTGCCATCGATTGACAGCAGACGAATGTGCAGGAAGGCAGAGCTTCCACACCTGCGTAGGACATTGCACCCATTCAAACACACATGGGCCGGGACCAACGGCTTTACTTCCCTTCCGAAGGAAGACGTGACCAGAGATTTTTATGCTTCAGAAAAATCCCACCGACCTCGGCTGGGATTGAAGCCAGACCCATTGGGGTGAGAAAGCAGTCACGCTTACCAATACACCACCGGTGCCGGCGCAGGGCAGATATGATATGAAAGAAGGGTCAGCTCTCTCGATTAATTCAGCTTTTTGTTATCATTATAATCCCATCAACAGTTTTGGTTCATTCGTGACTTGTCCGGGGAACACTGGTGTGAGAGTTACCTGTACAGGAGAAAATACTTTATGAATATGTACCTGATTTTTGTGCCTGATACCTAAATTGCATGCAAAATACTTTGTAAATAAAAAAAATATAAATTTTTGATACCAAGAGAACAGCTGGGTGGTATTGTTTTGGAAAGGACTGTTCATTAATGAAAGAAGACACCTGTTTCTCAAAGGAAAATATTAATTTTTGAACAAATTCATAAGTTTACTAGCTTCCCTTCTTCCCTACCCAAAAAATTAGCATGGCACAAAAGTACTCGCTTGATTTCAAATGGCCTTCGCTCAATTTAAACTTCAAATATGCATACTGACTCTGTCCTCTTCATAACTTTCTGTAGCCTTATTAAGTCCCATGTTGACATTATTAAAGCACTTCCTTCAACGTTGACATATTGATAATTTTTATCTAAATGTACAATACAAAAGTTTGTTGGTAAATGATTGGACATTGCGTACCATTGGTACTTTGCGTACCTGCAGGTATACAATAGAGCCCATTTAGTGGACCTTAACCT